GATCTTTGCATTGTGAAGTAAATTAGACAAAAGCTGATGATTATTTATATAAGAAATGGTGTCAAGAGGCAGTGCCCCCGGTAATGATGTGGGGCAAAGGTTCCCAGTCAGAGGAACTAATTTATAGAAAAATTTGGCTGTTTAAAATCCAGCTTTCATCTGTTTTTATGCTTTAATGCTAACGTGAAGGTAATAAAAAGCCAAAAACAGTTTTTTCCCATAAGTGACTGTCAGTGGGGCCAAACTATTGCCTTCACACAGTTTTTACAAGCCTATATTTTGTAATTTACCACATACAGTTTATTATCTTCAAAAGCAGAGATTGTTTCTCAGCAAATAAATTTGATCTAAAAACGGTAAAGGTCTTGTATTCTACTAAATGTTTAATTCAATTATTTAAATTGAAGTTGTTTTTGCTCACGACATGATTTCCATAATCTGAACAAACCTCTTTAACTTGTATTTAAAAATAATTTAGACCAATATCTGGTTAAAGTTGTTTCATTATGTATCAGTCTCTCTTCTTTTAGCACAATCTGAGATTTTTATTATTTTTACACTAAACACAGGTGGCCATTAAGTTTACAAAATCAGAAATATCAAAATAAAAGCTGGTTTTCCAAAATAAAAGATGCTATTTTGGATCTTTGTGCAGGCGACACGAGCCGAAAAGTTCATTATAAAGTTTTTAAAGTTGGATTTGTTTGAAGTTGATCGAAGTTCACTTCTTCCTTTCTTAGACGAGCCATTAGCTACATCTTCCAGGACCAACCAAATCTGGGTTTGTATTAAATGAAAAAGTCATTAAATATATCTGTCTGAGGCGAGATATTGGCTGCTTCTAGCTGTTTAACAGAACCATCTGGCTAAAATGTCTGAAAATATGAAGAACATGTTGTTAAATCTGTCAGTGAGTCCAAGTTTTCACCATGAACTCTTTAGGATTCATAATCAGGAATAGGAAGAGGTTTTCATTAATTTGAAAAATTAACTTCCTTGAGTTTTGTAACCAAGATTAATCTAATTTATTCCTGTAAAAAAATGCATCAGAATTAACATACAAGATGCAGCCCCTGTACTGCTTACTATTAATCATACTATTTAGATGAGCTGTGATTAATCCCATTTTCACTGTTTCACAGCCTCTTTGGGTCTTGGCTGAATTTTGAACAAAATCATATTATTACAATAACAAATCATACGAAAAGTAAAACAAACTTCATTTAGTGCCTCATGCATGTCCACACTTCTGATTCTCATTTCATCAAGTGCTGATATGTAATTACAGTTCAATCTGTTTGGGATTGTATGAAGGAGAATGTTTGAAAAACAATAAAGTCCATGGCAAAGATCTAGATAGTCTATTCCAGCCTGTGTTTTTTTTTTCCTACTGTAATTATCAGTTTTTTCCTGTTATGTGGAGCTTAATCCCTCTTCGAAGCAGAATCTGCTGTTTTCACTTGGGAGAATTTTTCTTTGCACAAACTGAAGTTCCCACCAAAGTCCTGCAGGTGGCAGCAAACTATCAGCCATACTAAACTCTACTGAGAGTAAAATCTTCTCAAGGTTTACAAACAGTACTTGAAATATCACTGAGCCAGCTGTGGCTCCGTCATTGTCCCACTCTTGTATTTTATTTTATTTTATTTTATTTTTTTATGTTCCACACCACTCGTCCTCCTGGGGCTCCGAGTACGACCTGCAGAAGGCGCTGCTGAGGGGGTATATTGAGCTGCCGTTGGTTTGCTCGGGTTCAATGAAAGAGACGGAGGGCTTCAGCGGAGTTATGGAAGTGCTGATGTCCAAGCTGTCCGATATGCTGCGAATGATCGAACCGTCATCTGAGGAAAACGACAGAATTAATCATGAGAATGGACATCGTTCAAGCTAGCTTGCCATGAATGCTAAGGCTAGTTAGCATAGCCACCGCTGACGCAGGATAAACGGTTCCCCTGTAACGGTAAGTTGTTTAACTGCCGTTAGCACATTAGCGATTATCTGTCTCATACTATCACAATATGGTGACAGGCTTATAATACCCTGAGGGAAACCCTGTTACTTATTCTTAACTGTATTTATTTTTAACCTCTAATTGTAGACAGATACATTATATACAAATTTCATGAGCAGATTAACAAATAAATACAGATAATATTTTGTTGTTTGGTGGTTTTATATTTGAAATGTAAAACCACCAACTTTTGTTTGAGTTGCTTTTATGTGTCGGTTCAGGTTAAAACAAACTCAAAGAGACAGAAATCTTATTCTTTGAGGGGGTTTTTTAGTGTAACTTTTCTTTTAATGTTTGGGCTCTTCAATTTTTTATTTTTTATCTCTCTAATTTGCCGACAGTAGAAAACCTGATGAAGAGGTTATGACCTTTTGGAAAGGGAGCTTGTTTGTGAACAAAGAGGAAACATTAAAAAAGTGGGTCAGTGTTTCACTAAAAAGAAGTTGATGACTGAAGTGAAACGCTAAACTAAGGGAATATAAGAATTATATTCTTATAGTAACATAGACAGATTGATAAATCACAAGATGTATTCCAGTGAGGCTCAGTTTTCAAGTTAGAAGAACCATTTGAAAAGTTTCTATTAAACACATTTCTATTGGTCTGATCTAATATCCTAATTTTAAATGTGTTTTTATTAGCTGTGATTGGAAAATCATCATGATTAACAGAAATTGAGGCTTGAAAACATCAATCTAACTGATAGTGTTTCATTTTGTGAATTGATTAAATAAATGAAGTTTTTAATAATGGTGTAATTTACTGAATGGCTCTGTGTTGGTGTATATATCTATTTTTATTTTTACCTGAGTTAAAAGGGGATGGTTTGCAGTCTGTGCAGCTCTCTTGGCAGTGAGACAGCAGCTCTGGTGGAGCGAGGACCGGTTCGGCAACGACCGTCATCATGGTAACAGGAACACTGTGTTTGACTGCAACGACATTTACAAAGATCAGACAATTCAGCCTCGAACATGCCGATAACAATCTGATCAGATAGTTCACATTAACTGCGGTGCATCTGATTTTCTAAATAAAACAAGGAAAAGGTTTGCTGAATGGACCTTAGGTGGCGCTATAACTCCAGCACTGAGGCGTGCAGCATCATTAGTCATTTAGCTCTGTGTTAAACCAGCCTATGCAGATTAAACAACAAAGTAGAACAAGCGAGAAACAAACGTGACAAAAATCAATGCCGTCAGATTGTTCTGAAATTGAGCCACCTTTCAATCCAAACGATGTACTTCTTTGGAAAAAAAATACAGTCTCAGCTTGAATGCTGTGATATTTTGAAGAAAATTATTGTTTTAACAGAGTCCACATTTTAGAGCAATATACATGAAGTCAAAATCCCTCTCTGCATGCAGCTCATTTTAATTGAGAGCTAAACAAAGACATTAAAATATGGTTTTATGGTTGTGGGTTTTCTGTGACTTTTTACCGAGACAGAGTCAGACACACGGGTGTGTTTTCTTTTCATCTCTTTGGTGAAACTGGTTCTGAACGCTTACGGGAACTGCACCCCAGACTTTCAGTTACGAGGCTTACGAGGGGTTTGCATCCGGTGGCGAACCCCCTGAAGTTACGGGTAACGTGTCTCCTCAATAAGGAAACATTTTCACAGTTTTTTTTTTTGTTTGTTTGTTTGTTTACTTGCAGCGGAGGCTTTTCTTTACAATGCAAATTACTTTATCTGTGAGACGTGCTTGCTGTTCCAGAAGATTTGTTCTCTAATTTAAAAAAAAAAAAAGTCTCGAGGAAGGTAATCGGATGATTAGGTCGATCTTTCCCCTCTATATATGTTCGTCCCCACACAGTCAGCTCTGAGCTTCATGAGCGATTGCTTAACTCGAATCATTCACTTTGGAAATAGTGTGCGTCTATATAACTCATTCATGGTTTTCTCCACAGACATGAACCTACACAAACCTGAGACTTCGTCTTTTTTTTTATTTCCTTTTGTCACATTGACGCACGTGCCCTGAATCTTCCCCCTTAATAAAGGGTTAGACTGCGTCACCTTCATATAAAAAAAGTACCTGTCCGAGGTAATTACTTTATAGAACATGCTCAAAGGTAACGCAGCTTCCGGTGACTCAAAGTTAAACCGATACTACAAGTTTAGACGCTGTTTTCACCACCGGTTTGCTTTTAAACACACGCTTGTATTGCAGAGGTTTTCCTTTTTCAGGAAGGTTTCTGTAACCTTTGAGTCAAAACAGCAGTCTCGCACACTCAGCGAGTACATATTGATTACATATTGTAATCAATATGTAATCAATGATTACATATTGATTACACCAATATGTAATCATGTATCTATAGCAACACAGAAACAAGCATGGCTTTAAGACTTTAGGTCTCGGCTACGTGGCTAAAATCAGGTTCTCTTAACCTCTCGCTGTCTGGTTTCAGTGAGAGGAAACAACTCAGAGATAAATTAAGTTGGCAATCTAAACACGCTGATCACTGCATCTACTGCAAAGATGATGCCGACCGTGTTTATCGACATTCCAAGTAAAAATGTCAAAAACTCAACAATGTTCTGTAAACTCTGCCAGTCTTGGCCAGGATTGTCTTGCAGATGAGTATTTTAGTCTTGATTGACTCTGTAATTGTAGCTACGACAGGTGTTTGGTTTCTCTTTGTTGTTCGTTTCATTACTGTTCGAGTTTATTCCTTTGTGTTAGTTTATTTATTCTTATGTTCTGCTCTTTGCACACATTGGAGTTTGGATCGGTATTGACCTTTTCGTTTGTTTTTAAGTTTTATAGTTAAGCTTCTCTGTGTTAATTGTTCATCTTTCCTTAAATATGCCTAATGTCATTCTCCATGTCATTCCTGGAGTTTTCATTGTTCTTAAAAGGTCTGCTCTTCTTCTCTGCCTGACTATTATTTGAGTCCCTTTATACAAGGGATAAAGAGCCTCGAGTTGTGAAATAATTAGTTTAACAAAATCCCTGACCTTGAAATGAGTGACATCCATTAAAAAGTCCTAAAAAATTTAACTAAAACATTTTTTGTGTACATTTAGGATAAAAGTCACTTTCTCTTTCCCTTCTTTATAAATAGGGCATGACGTGGAGGTCCATTGCTATTAGTCGCTCTTCAAGATTGAAAAGACAGGAGAACATGCCATTTAATTAAAGCAGATGATTAGGTTTCATAAATCAGGGGAAACGGCTAAACTCCATTTCTACTGTCAAAGCAACAACTTCAGTTTTTATGCACATCTTTACTTTTGGGGAAAACCATCAACAATGGAGCTTTTTACATCAATTTGACCATCTATTTAAAAATGTATCTTGACGTTTGTTTTGGTGTGTGTGGTTAGCTTGAGTGGCATAATTGTGGCGCGTGAACTAAATGGTGACATCAAGGAAGTTATTTTAAAAATGTTGCAATAAAGAATTGCAGGAAACTCACATGTTTCCAGCAAATGTAGGTTGTGTAATGACACATCATGATACTTTCCTGCTAAATTAATGCTTAGTGTCTCAGATTTTACAAGATGAAATAAAAATACTAAGCCATGATCTTGAAGAGAGAAAGTATAATTTTTACGTTGTGGTTTGTGTCGAGAGAAAATTCTTTTGTAATAAAACTTCAAATTAGACAAGATTGATTAACAAATACTCCGTATTATCGATGGGTTGGTATTACATTTACTTTGGGCTATAATTGTAAGACTGAGCAGCATTTGACACTTTTTTAACCATTGCCCAAAAAATAAGATTAAAAGTTTTTTTTTAAGGAACACAACTATGTAAATTTGCATCTTGACAAATTTTTCGTTAATAAACAGAAATTCTCCGAAACTCCTCAAGTAAAACTGAAACTGATATGACACTGTAATGAGGAGGAAATTTTGTATTTCTGCAATTTCTCCTAAAGAAGCCTTTGAAGATATCTACCGACAGACAGGTTGAATCATGTGGAAAGCACAGACATGCAGAGATACAAAAAAACAAGAAGTGTGCATCAGTGAACCTCATCAGCAGCTGTCCTTACTGCATCTGATAAGAGCAGCGAGATCCACTTTGGTTGAAGCCACAGAGGATGAGACAAAAGCCTCCTATTCCAGTATGGCCACAGAGTATGACCACAGAGGTTAAATGGAAAATAAGAAAATGACATTACTGCCAGCCAAAAAATAATAGGTAACACCATTATGCCAGATACGTAGGCCTGCCATCTCAGTATGAGTTGGCTGCCTGTGAAGTGTGCGTCACATCATACCAAAGAACTGTGTCAAGCTAAAACTGTACAGGATGTGGTTTCCCCATTGAGCTCGTCATCTTCGTTAAGCCTGTTTTTTTACCTAACACATCTGAGTTCAGCCGCTTTAACTGCTGGATCTGCTGCTTCTGTGCAACATCTAGCAGAACATAACTCGGAGATAAAACATTAAAGTTCTGTTGATGTAAGAAAATGTGTGATCAAAATGTAATTTCCCGTAATCATAGCTCTATGACCTTCAACTGTGCAACTTCAAAGCAAACGAGTCTAACTGTAGGTTCTGCGATCGAGCAGCTCGCCTCTTTAGATTTATTTTTAACCAGTGTGTAAAGAGACAAACGACAATAAATCCCACTCACACAGGTGTCGTTTCGTACTCACCTGGTCTATAGGATCTGCGCTTTGCTCTCCAGAAGATGATCGCCGCCACAACCAAAATAGTCAAAACAAGTCCGGCCCACAGGCATGCAGGCAGGATCCAGCAACACTCTGATTCACAGAGAGGGAACACAACATGCGTGTTAGCGTCGTTAAGGTTACGTAACAGTTTACGTCAGAGTAGTGGCATAACTTCAGGGAAAGATGGAAAGATGGAGTGTGGGAGAGCTGGTCTCCAGTCATCATTATTTGACATTTTCTTGAATTAATCACCAGCAACAGACAAACAAACAAAGGATGTGGAATGCTTTCTCATGTCTCAAAGTACAAATACTGGGAAAAACAAAAATCTTCAAAGCTCCCCGCAACTTATCTCACTGAATGCAAAGACGAATAAAGAAATTAGTCTTTTTCTTTGCATCATCTCCCTCTGAAACATGTTGAAAAATCCAACTTTTAATTTGAGTACATGTTTTTTATGTACTTTCCAAGATGACCAAAGTCAGTGAACCTGTATTTTCTGTTTCTCCAGCTTATAATTATGACTAGAAGCAGCTGTACCCCGTATTCAAAGATTGGTCTGTGGATTATGACTCAAAATTATTCTGAACTAAACTCAATTAGCTAATTCACTGATTAGACCAAAAGACTGTTACCTCTGTGGTAGTGCTATGACGATTTACGTATTAAGTTATGTTTCGTTGGTTTTAGTGGCTGTGGTTCGGTACCCCCTGCGAAATTGTTTTTTTTTTTTATTATTATTTTATTTACCAGTCTTAAGATTAGAGAAGTCAAGTAACAAAGATGAGAAAAAAATCATAATTATGTTATAAAATAAAAAACAAATCAACAATGAAGTTGACATGCAAAAGCCTTACTTTGCATAAATGAGCTTGAAACTTTACACTTCGTATTAAGATTTAATAACAAATAAATTATTTTTTTTAGCCTGTAAACGTCCTGTGGATGCACATTTTTATGCAAACCTTATCAAACTTGTTTGAGAAGAGCACAAGTTTTCATTCCACTGTTTCTTCAATTGTATTATTTCACTTTATTTTCAATATTTTTACTTTAATCGCAAAACAGAATTTCGACTATTTTCTCAATGGAAGAGAAAAATGTCCACCATTCTTTTTTCCCTCCATGTGACCCTAATACCACGTCAAAGTCATTCTACAAAATGGGAAAGGCAGGAGAACATAGGATTTGATTAAGACAGATGCGCCTTGATCTCTTTAAGTGAGGAAATGACGGAGGAAATTGCAAGAAACTGCAAGAAACTTGTCAATATCTACAGTCAACGCAACAATCAAAATGCTTTAAACATGAGAAACGGCAACAAAGACGATATATCTGCAGAACTAATTATTCTAATATATACAAGTTTCAGTGTTTTAATTGCCTAAAAACATTGGATATTTGTAATTGCCTTCATGTATAAAATTTTATCTGTTTATGGGAAATACAGATATATTATCAGAGCATTTTGTTACAGCTTACAAAGATAAATACACTTTAAAGTTTAGAAAATAAAAAAGCCCCCAGGGCATGGGGTTTCCACATGTCTTAGAGTCTAAAAACAAAAGAAGAGACGTGTGACAGACATCTAGTTGAGTTTCAATTTCAATCACATTAATTAAATGTGGCCACAGTGAGAACACAGATAGGAAGAAGTGACAGAAAATAGTTTTTCTCTATTTTTAAGGAGTAATTTGATCTCTTCTAATGCAACATAAATATGATTTAAGATGAATAAATAAACCAAAAACTGGAGTATAGACAATTTTTTTATAAGCCTGCTGCTTTAATGTTAAATTGAACATAGTTTCAGATTTTTGCAAAACTTTTGTCCAAAAACCTGAGCTACTGCTGTTGTTACAATTTAATTTGTTAAACTACAGAAAAGTAATTGTTGGGATGCACAAATACGTAAATTTGGGCCGATGTTGATATCTGATATTAATACAGCTGTTATGTCAGGATTTACCAATATTTTATTTTATCAAATTATTTTATTCGATCACTCGATTAGTCGTCAGAATAATCAATAGATTACTTGATTATTAAAATAGTCAATTACAACAGCTGTGGTCAGCTCTGTACGGTCACAGTGAGCTACGCCAGCCATTTGTTGCGACTTGGATGGTAGTAAATTTATTTTCCGGTCTGTCCATAAAGCTACGTTTAAGCTACAGCTGCCCACTGTGGTCAGTCTATATCTGCATGACTCTCCGCTCCACCTGTATGCATCTGAACCAGGCAGCAGCTACAGGAGGAGAAAGGCTGTCGTACTCCATGGCATCGCGCCAAACATTTCAAGTTTAAGTTGCGCCTCCCCATAAACACATTCATATTTAACACAACTCCAATCACAGCCTTCAGTAAGCTTTCAGACATTTCAAACTCTGCCCTTCACCCACACACGATATGTTTTAAATTCTTTTACAATAAAGAATATTATTTGTGCATTCATTCTTGCTCCATAAATGTGATTTCACCCTTCAAAATCAAAGGGCTTTGTTTCTTGTGAGAGACAAGCAAACTGCAACCGCTGCATAAAATGGTTTCCCCTCTATGCCACTTCCACTTCCTCTCTTAATTCAAGCTCAACTGGATCCCTGACAGTCACATCCGCTAAGCCCTACGACATCATATTTCAAACATGTTAGTCAAAAATATGCACAAAATGTCTCAATCTAAAGGGGTGGACCTACGAGATTCACAGTCTTGACAGATGGCATCCGTTGTTTTGGTTCCTGGAGTTTTCAGCTGTAGTCTGAAGGCCTCACACCTGAAAGAAATGATAAAGGAATAAATTATTGATTTATTCTCAAAGTGAATTATAGCTTCATCCAACTAATGAAATATTTCCTACATTGCATACTTTAACATTTTAGGATGTAGTAGAGCTCAGAACAGCATTGATTATGTACAAAGCCTGTAATAAACTCCTTCCAAGGTGTATACAAAAGTGGTTCAACAGAGAAGGATTTATTTTAAAATCCTTATCCTTTATTTTAAAAACTAAAGATGAGGACGAATATAAAAAAACAATTGTACTTCAGTTAAAGGGTTTCAGAAATAATTGTGAAGAGTTAAAAAAGTGTTTTTCTCTCTCTAAGCAAATAAAATGTATAAAAGCCACTTGAGAAACAGATACAAAAAGGTTTGATTAGGTTTTTTTTTTAATTAAATACTTAGCTGAAATTCAAAACACACTGGGATGACTCTGCTGCTTTGATTTGGTTGCTACTTTCTGAAAATCTTCTACACTTTTTGTGTTTTACACTTTGTGTTCTTTCTATTAACAGGCATTTAAATATTGTTTTTCTGCTTTGAGTGTGTAACCTGGAGATTTACTTGCGCTGCGCAGTGTTTACCAGTAAACATTCAGCTTTGTTGACATGATGAGAAACTAAAAGGGACTCAGACTTGCCTGAAATGCGGTTGACAAGGAGAGAAGGAATCTGTGACGTTGCTGAAGGTTCCTTCTTCACACGGTGCGCAGACTGTGTCATTTGTAGAAGTAGCTGCGAAAAGAAGTCGAAGGCAGAGCCGTCTAGTTTTTTAGTTATTACACACAGGGATGAGAATCTCTGAAAGAGAGCAGGCTGATCTGCTTTGAAACTTACGTTTATTTTTGACTCCTTCACCCACAGGGCACTTAGTCCAGGGCTCGCAGTGATCAGCTTTTTCACGGTAGAAGAAACCTGGGTTACACTCACAAACGGTGTCCGTCTTATCTGTGCAGATGCTCTTTGTTCGACTGTTTTTAACTGTAAGGTTGAAAAAGAGAGATTTTCTCCTGTTAATTTGTGATTTCAAGGTGTTTAAAGCTAGTCTGCATATATGTGTGTGTGTGTGTGTGTGTGTGTGTGTCTTTGTGTTTGTGTGGGTGTTTAGGTTACAATTGAAACTCCCTGCACTAAAATTTATCACCAGACAGCTTCCTCCCTTTATTTTCACACTGTAGATACTTTCAAGTTCGCTTAAGGAGAAAATGGTCCACTGTTGCTAAGTGAGTTAGCAGTGGTGTAAAAAAAAAAAAAAAAAACTGCTGGCAACCTTACCGATTTCTTGTTTGTCCTATATTTGGTCACATTTAAGTGTTTCAGATCATGTAACAAACTAACCTGGGTAAATAAAAAAACATTTTTCCAAAAATAAATGTATGTACCAAGGAAAGAAGTTATCCAAAACCATGGTATATAAATATAAAATTTAGCCCAATTACTGCCAGACCCATACAATCAAGAAATCACCTATAAACGGGACCTGTCTGACAACATGAAGTAGGCTAAAAGATCTCAAAAAGCAAAACATCATACTCTGATTTGAAGAAGAAAATGATTAAGAACAGAAGAGAAGGAAAGACATTCACATTAATGAGTCTGGAAACAGTTACAAAGCCATTTGGGACTCCAGAGAACCACAGTGAGCGACTTTATCCACAAATGGAGAAAACATGGAACAGTGGTGAAGCTTCCCAGCCTACAGAAATCCCTCCATGACAGCATCAATGTTAAACATCCAGGATGCTAAACAACAGAGGCCCAAAACATCTACAACTTAACATGTCTCAAGAACTTCAGGTATTGATCAGGCATTGAAAATAAATAAACTCTGAAGGAGACAATAAGTTCATGACCTTAACACACTTGGTTTAGGTCAGGAGTCTGCAACCTGCGGTTCCTGAGACACATGCGACTCGTTGGCTTTTTTACTGTGGCTCCTAAAATCTAACTAAGACATGTTTTTGATCATAATACCAATAAGAAAAAGTGGTATTATGATCAAACCTTTTTTTATGTGGCTGCAGACAAATTTCATTTTGTAGTGTTGATGGCAAAAGTGGCTCTATGAATTGAAAAGGTTGCTGACCCCTGAACTCGGATGATGACACAAAGCTAACTAGAAAGTTCACCTCTGTGAGCCCACTGCAAAAAAATAAGTGAAAGTTTTGGCATGGCCTAGTCAAAGTCTTTGTGACCTTAAACAAGTGATTCAATCCATCAAATGTAGCTGAATAGAACAATGCTGCGAGGAAGTTGAGTCAAAATTTCTCCATGACCATTTTATTAACTCTTTTTTTTATCTAATAATAACATTTGTTTGATATGAAACATTGAAAAAAAGGGCAAACAGAAGAAATCGGTAAGGAGCCAGTAACTTTTTCTCCCAGCACAGTAATAAGGCGGAGCTGGTTGTAGTTTATAAGGGTTATAAACAAAAGAGCTAAATGATTCACATATGTACCGTTTCTGAATGTTTGTGACTTACCACAGGAACGACAGGAAAAGCATGTCTTCCGGTAGTTTGGGGTCTCTGTGAAAGTCCCGTTAGAACACGGTTTACACTTTGTGCCTTCTCTGTCGTTACAATCTTTCTCTACGAACATTCCTGTTTAAAGTGGAAAGAAGCAGAGATGTAACAACTGAAACAAGCTTTGTTTTTTTGATTTTTTAAGATTTCTACAAAGTGGTTTGTGAACAAAGAATAAACTATGAGACGTTCACTGACCTGCAGGACATTCATCACATTTCCCGCTCTGCTTCCCCTTGTCTTCACTGGTTGCCATCAGTAGCACATAAGATCACAGTCTTCCTCTTGTGTGTAGAAGTTCAAGCTTTGGGTTTCCAGCCACTGTCTCTGGTGAAACTCTGCGTCTCTCTGACTCTCTCCTCACTCACGCTCCTCTCTCTGTCATGTAAGTTCTGGCTTTGGCAGCAGATTTCTTTTCCCTCCCTGCTTTTTCTGATCCTACACAATGGAAAGCCCCGTTGACCCTCATCTGCCGTTTTCCCCTCCGTCTCTACGTCTTTCTGTGTCGGTCCTCGTTTCCTTCCGGTCCTGGTTCTCTCTCTCTCTCTCTGGCGGTGTGAACGCTGTGTGTGTTTCCGCAGCTATAAACCCAAAGGTACGCCTAGCGCTGTGTGATACAATGAGACATTTCCTCTCTCTGTATACACTCATTTCTTTTTGCTTTGTCTCTGTTGCTATCGACAAACCTTTGTCAAAGCAGAGCTGGAGCGCCGCAGAGATAAAGCTTCAAGGCCAGGTGGTTTTCCTGTCACCCTATTTCCCCCTGATCTTTGCCTTGTTACAGTAAATATGCAGGCTGTTGAAAAATTGATTTGCTTTTCTGTCATACTGAGCTATTTCAGATCCTCAAACAAATCCTAATATCAAATGAAAAGTAGTTTTCAAGTGACAAATTGAATTTACTGATGGAGTAATTAACACTGAAACATAACGTTGTGCCACCATTGGCAGCGACAGCTGTCATTAAGTCTTTAAGACTTAAGACTGGAAATGACTCTTTTACATCGCTGTGGGGGAACTTCAGCCAAAGCTTCTTTGTAGATTTTTTCTCATTCAGTCACATTTAGGGTGCTAAAGTTCTGAACTTTGACTAGGCCACTCCAAAATATAAATTTTGCCTTTCGGAGGTAAACCTGCTAGTGTGATTTGGATTGTTGTCCTTTTGCACAATCCAACCCAATCTGCTCAAAGTCACAATGGTTCCTCCTTGGTTTCTTCCCTCAAATGGCCTTGAGGATCATCAGCTGTTTTCTTGTCAGATGATCCTTTTGTGTTGTTTTTTGTCAGCTGTAGTTTTACCTTTGTCCCATCATAGTATTGAATCAAACACGCAAACACTTTGAAACAATTCAACCATGTCTTCCTCTTTTGTAAAAACAATGGCTATAAATTTACAAGATATAGGAAGACTTTTTATTCTGATTAATAACCCCATAAAACAGCGATTAATCACGGTTAGTCACTGTGAATTTTAAGTTCAGTTTTTCAGGTTTTTATGTTAAAAGAAGTGATGTTGTTTTAAATGTTAATTTAGAAATGTGAACTAGCTGGTTGTGCTTTGGCAGAAGAATAATTCACTGTTGCGGTACGCACATACTACCTTGGTTTTACTGAGCCGTCAAGTGCTTTGTTTTTTTTAAATTAAATTTGCTGCTGAGCACTCTAATCTTTACATCACGTTTGCCACTCTGCATTGTTGACAGCAGTACAAGACTGCATACACATGTACATATATATATATATATATATATATACACACGTGTGTTTTTTGTCAGACTGTTTGACTTTCTTAGATAATGGCACAATGTGTTGCTTTTTTTTGTCTTTTAGCCTACTTCATGTTGGCAGACAGGTTCTACTTAAATTATTTCTAGATTAGCTATGCTTGGTGGCCGTCAGGACTGATCACGTTTGGCGAAATTGAGCTCAGTTCAAAGTTCATTTACGATTTAACGATGTGAATAGAAGTGCTTTTTGTTTTTGTAAAGACATGTGAGGACATTTGAGGGGGGTTGTGCTTTCACATCACTTTACAAACACAGCTGTACATAAATAGATTCATAAATGCTTACCGGTGCAACTTATAACCGAGAGAGGAAGAGGGGAAGCAAGGGGACAGGAGGGGGGTGAGAACAGAGAGTAAATTAATGAGGGAAAAAAGGAAGGACGGTTCATATGAGGATCGTGCTGCCATGTTCAGATTAAGGTGGGATTTTTTAATTTTTATAAATCCAAATAACATGTCTAACATGTGCTAATCAGCACTTTAATTGTGTTTTTTGTGTGTCTTTCTGTGTTTCTCTGTCAGAATATACAAAAGTAATGAAAATGTTCAGCAAAAGAAAAAAAAAATCTCTTCAATCACTCGATTTACAGTTTTTAGCAGTGACTAATAGAGTCCTAATTTAATTAATGGAGTTATTGGCTCCTGCAAAAACTTGTGCTAATGCATAGTTGGCCAATTTTTCAGCTACTGTTGTGATATTTAACCATTTTAGTTGCCTGAATCTGAGTGTTATTGTCTTGAAAGATACCAGAAATGATAATTACACCTTAGGAGTACACGTAGCAATGTGGCTCATAAGGCTGTTCATCTGAACTACCCTTTCCTGCATAAGGAAGAGTGGTTCGTCATGGACGTGACTGTTCCTCTGACCTTTTCATTGTATTTGCATTGATTTATAGATAGCTAAACAGTGATAGCAGCTCTTCCACACTGGGTTTTGTTGATATTGAGTTGGCAACACGGAGTCTCTTTAGATATGTAGTTCTTCTTTTTCTTCACAGTGTGTTTTCAACCTCTGTGGTGTCTGCTGCTAAGCTTCGGTTGAGCACTTCCTGAAATTAACTTTTTCTTTGTAACTAGCATGTCAACATGACATTCAACACGGTTCCTCTTGAAATGCTCCACAGATCAAATTCAAAGCAAAGACGAAAAATCATGCAGTTTGATACAGATACACAGGTCTGCACAAAGAAATGCAACGGCATCAAATAATTACCAAACGTCAGCATTTTGCAAACAGACACTATTTTGCAATTTTTTTAAGCCTCTCCCATTAGCTTTACACAGTGGACCCACTAAACATAAAGAACATGATAGAGCCATTATTCCTGCATGCTAACATTGCTAAACATATTGAGCGGTGAATTATTAATGAAAAATGACAGAGAAAGGAGCTTAAATCATCTCGTTGGAGCTATTAAATTATCATTGATAATTTAACATTTCTTAAGTTTCAGCTTAAGAAATGAGAAAAGCTTCAAAAATGTCTAAATTTATAAATTTACAAGTTGCGTGTTACGTGAAGACTCTACCTTTGTTCATCCCTTCAGTCTAGAAATCTCTGTCTGAATGATTCATTGGTCTAATGTACTGAACAGTCAGGAAAAGACCATGAAATAATCTTTTTGAGAAATATTGATCGGGAACATTTTGGAAGCAATGATTGACTCAAGACTTTTGGACAATAAAATGATGCGTCCAGTAGAGGCTTTGTATTCACATAGCTATGAACCACAGCCGACTATTATTATTTATAATCTACAAATACTAAAGAAGAAGAAGTTTTATAACTGCACATTTACAGAGTTCAAACACTAAATTTACCTTAGTTTACATTAATACACAGAGTGGAATCTGTCTCGGCACTACTTTAACAGCTAACATTAAAGTCTTCCTCCTGGGGAACAACCAATCAGCATCAAGGGAAATGAAAGCAGCTCCTGGATTGGCTGCTTTGCAAACACAAGCCAATAACCTGCCAAGCAGTTACTTCTGTTTCCAGAGCTGCATTTTCTGTCAAATATTTTAGGCCCTTCACAATAATACATTTTGCTGTATGATAAATTGTCCCACAAGTTATTGTGAAATATTGTTGCTTTGAGAATATTTTCAAGTAATATGACAGTAATGGCATAATAACGCAAAGATACACATTCACAAAGAACAACAAACTTAGAATTGTAATGAACATTTAACACTAGAACTGGAAGACATTTTAAATATCCCAAATAAATAAGCAACAGAAACAATAAATAAAATCAACAACAACAAAAAAAAAAGACTAATTTAGACCAAAGCACAAGACTGAAGACTTCACTCATCCAGTTTTTGGTAGAATATGGGAAAGAGAAGAAAAACGGTAAATGATGCAAGTGGAAATGATTGAGCTTGTTTTCATTTATTATGCGATTAACTGATTTATTACTTATTGCTCTATGGAAAAATCCATGAATGTTCAAATTGTCTGTGATTAATCTGGAGTTACTTTTAACAGAAAAGCCCGTTCTTCGGCAGGTGTCCTCTGTTTACCAAACTTTCACTGAAACTCATGGTTTAAAATAACATCATGTTCATTTTTTATTATCTCTAATATATAGATTTTGTAATAAAGATATTCCCTTTGTAACATTTGCACATTGTTTCAGTCTCTTTCTTCTGCTGCTGCCCTGCTCCTCGTATTCCACGCTGTTGGGATGGGTGGAGTCTCCTGGCTATCCCATGGGATATTTGCCTCACACCAGTTTAAACTGGTCCAGGTGCGCGCCCAAAGGCCAAACCGTCTCCATCAAGCTGATCCACCTGGACCTGGAGAACAGCCAAGACTGTGAAAATGATGCTGTGAAGGTCGGATGAATGATGCCTTCACCTGTTACTGCAGCGAACTGGTGTGAATAAGTAGATAAGTAGTTTTGTCTATCGTGTTTCCACCCAGATCTCATCAAACGGGAACCTGATTGCTCTTCTGTGTGGGAAAAGAGACTATGAGGAGCTTCAGGAGTCGGTGAATCCGCTGCTGTTCTCCTCCGCTGGCGGCTGCCTCACTCTTCTGTTTCACTCCGATTACTCCAACACCAAGAGACACACTGGCTTCAGAGGGTTTTACACGCTTCAAGGTGAGAACGAGACACAAACAAACCGTACTTCCACATTCACCAAATGTTTTCAGCTTGTTTCATGTCCAGTTCAGGCGACCTGTTGCATTTCAGAAAAAGGTCAGGTTTATTTTTAGACGATGAGTAACCACTGCCAAAACTGAGCTGGAAACGGTTTTGTTGCAAATGTAAAATAGTTCATGTGTACTCTACTTTTTCATTTTCATCATGTAAATACCTCAAAACAATGAAGGGAATGACGGTTCACATTTTCCATTTCACAGTGAAATACTTTTCCACAGTGAGATTTCTACATTTTGGCTGGAAATTTGGCCCATTTCAGATTTCTTCTGTTTTTGTTCCTGTATTTCAGTAACTCCACTCACTAAATAAAACAAATCAGATAGATTATTTACAAAAAAGCTCATGTTTTAAAGTCAATATTTCTGTAATTGTGATGATTTCTTGCTTATAACACCGAAGAACATATTATTACAACCAATAAAAAGTGGGCTTACTGAAAGAATGTATAACTTATTTTCAAAAAATGCTTTTTTATTATTTTGATATTAAATAAATAAAAAAAGCTTTTAATCTGACAAATGTGCCTCATTTGAATCAACTTTTAAATTAGAATGTTTCTGCTTTTAAAACAAATTTTAAGATCAGCCAAAGATAACCTGAGTAAATGGAAAAAGCAGCTGCCAAATACTTATTTTATTTACTTTGAAAAATAAATCCAAACCAACTGGGCCTCCTGAGAAAAAGTAAATCCTTCCTAACAGCAAAAACGTTACAGGTTTGTTACATTTCGATGAGTCTCTGACATCGTTGTGACAGAAATTTGTCCCACTGTTGTTCGACTTTGACAATCCAGAGGAATATTGAATATAGTAGGAATTTAGCTGAGTGAAAAACCTGAATATCTAGAAGTTCTCTTTTTTTATGCTGCAGAATATTGGAGGATAAATTAAGTCTGGAAGCTAAAATATTTGTAATTACTCATAAAAAACGGTAGAAGTACATTTCATAACTTTCTAGGCTTCAAGACAGAGTAGGAAGCATGTTCAAATGGACCGTGGTGATTTTATTATCTAATCAGAGCCAAAAAGAGAAATAAATTCTGGGGCCTTTCCACTTTAGTCTGTTTTTCACCTAAAACTAATAGTTGGAGCACAAAGGACGGACATTACATAAAATTCCAGAACGTGTTTTTCACAGTCAGACGACCAAAATAAATGTTTAATATAAATATTTAGTTCATACTTTAACAAACACATTTTAAAGATGTTCAGGGTCTGTTTTTTACTTTGCAGACTATAATGAGTGTGAGGACGAGCAAATCAACAAATGCACTCAGTTTTGCCACAACTTCGTCGGAGGCTACCACTGCTCCTGTCGTCATGGTTACCACCTGGACGAGGACAAACACACTTGCACGGGTAAGGGCGACATTTTCTGACTCCTTGGCAGGTCACACACACGACGAATGACGAATGGAGGAGGACAAAACCGAAACACGAAGTGAGAACTGGAAATAGGAGAAGCAGAAGTGGTCAGTCTGGAAGAAGAGGAGGCCGATCTTAGTCAGGTCTAATCATGCTGGCAAAGTGATGAGCAGGTTGAGAATGAACTCGTCTCATCCTAAATGCAGTGGGCTGCGCTGAGGACCTGTCAGGGCTGAAAAGAGGAGACGTATCCAGTCCTTCCTGGCCTGGAGCGTATGCAGAAAACACCAACTGCAAATACACCCTGTCTGTGGAGGACAACCTCCAGCTGGAGCTGCACTTCTCTGAGGGTTTCGATGTGGAGCAAAGCCCTGAGGGAGACTGCGTGGATGAGCTGAGGGTGAGGATCGAGTCACGGTACTCAAAAATCCCAGGAAGGAGGTTTTCTTTATTAAAGCTTTACTCCCTGGACAGTACAAATAAAAAAGAGGAAGTTGAGACTGAAGTGTTGAAAACCTGGATTAAACAACCAGAGGACATCCTGTTTGATGAGCCAGTGTTTGACTTCTTTTTTTTTTTTTTAACTAGTTTCACTCTTATAGGTTTTTACTATTCTATCACTATTGATTCGCAGATTTGGACATCACTAAAAATAAAAATTTACCTCATATGAGATTGCACCAGTGAAGAGGCTGCTTGCCAACAGCTTATAGGTATTTCACCTTCCCAAGCTTCATTTTCTCTTTAATATTTTAGATTTGTGCTACAAAAAGATAGGCTGGTTTCCAACAAATGATTTGGAGTTACGTTCCACAGGAAAATCCACAAATACGATAAACTAGGCTCTAACTAATACTAACCAATTACATTATGACACTCTATAGGGTAAAATAGTGAGCAAATAAAGTGTAAATAATATAAAATATGTTTTATACCTTTACTATGACTCTAACGTTTGCTTGTGCTTCATTGTAGAGTTAAACTCACTTCTCGCTGTGGTCAATTTCCTCTGAACAGACAGTACCTTGAAATGATGCGTCACTCTAGGATATTGTGGTTACCATGATGGTTAGGTGTTGGAGTCTGAAAAAAATCTATTTACCATCAACGACCCTCACAGCATCACACCTACACCTCCATGTTTTACAAAGACAACCGCAGTTTCAGATACCATCATTTCACCCTCAGTGTACCTTACAAATCATGAAAGCTGAAAGTTTGACACATCAGACCAAAGTCCAGATTTAAAGGGATTTCTTATACAGACATGAAGTTCAGGTTTCTAAGCAGCAGCAGCAGCTCTGACTTGAGGGACTCCAGCACATGGTTTACTTTAGAACTGTGAGGTTGGTAATTTGAGGTCAATGATGTTGCAGTATTCAGTGCAACTTTAGTGCACCTGCCTCTGAAACGAAACAAAGCTTGTTCAAGTGAACAGAGTGAAAAACTGTTACAAAGATCAGCTGCAAGAAGTGTTTTGTTTTCCCACTGAAAACATATTTGTGACATTTTACATGTTGTAAGGTTTAATAGTACTGCGTATGTGCATGCTTTATCAGGTGTTTCAGAGTGTTATATTTGAAGACATGCTCTGTACTGATGTGTTTGACAGATTGAGACCCACTCTGAGACTTTGGGTCCATTCTGTGGTAACAAACCCCCACCGTCTCCTCTTCTCACTCATTCGAGCCACATCCAGATCCATTTCACCTCCGACGGGTCTGGAACTAACAAGGGCTTTAATATCCACTTCAAGACCAGAGGTAATGAAGCTTCTTTTTAATACAGTTCCTCTCTACCCCCCTAAAAATGGATCTCTAGTATCTCTAAAATCACTGCTCTTCCCTGCAGATAAGGTCTGTCGACCTATGACCTCAAACTCAAATATGGCTCCTTTGAAACAAGAATATCACTGGGGAGAATCAGTGACTGTAACTTGTGATATTGGCTATGTTGCAGATTCAGTGAGTCCTCAAATCACACTGGGTTACAAAAGAATATTATTTGGAAGTTGTCTTTGTTTTTTCACCTGAATTAGGACTATTTTGCACAGCTGAATCCAAAAGTTACATCCTCATTTCTCAGTCAGGTTTTTATTCTAATCCGATCTTCTGACTAAATTGATGACATTTTTGTGACACTATCGGTTCATTTACATTAATATTTCTCAACAGAGTGTATTAATTAAATGATCCAAACTTGGATTTCTATAAATTGTGTAACAAACACTGATAAGGGTCAGTGCACGTAAATTGAACATTACGTCTTCATTGTGCAGAATGAAGGGCATGAACCTCCGTTTCTTCGAACGCTTGGCATGCTCAGCAGCAGGGATATCTCTCTTCAGAGTAATCAGCCATCATGACTGCATCCCAGCATCCCAGTCTAAAATGTAGCGTACTTCAGAAAGTTGAGCAAAACCAATGTGATTTTTTTGGATTCAGCACATCAAAATCACCCTAAAACAGCTGGAAAAACCCCAGACAACTTTTTGGCTGTTGACCAGTGTAAAGTTTGCATGGATTTGTGCAAACCCTAAGGGGAAGTTAAGTTAATGAAGTTCTCGTTTTGTGAAACAGGCCTCTGACGGTCTATTGAGACAGTATGACACAACCTGCCAAAGCAATGGTTTATGGGCTCCCATGTACCCCTGTGAAAGTGAGTGTGACTAAAACCAATCTGAACATTTTCTTATTCATCTGAAACGTACTGCCGCTTCGCGTGGTAATTTTTGTTTCTCGCTCTAGTTGTGGATTGTGGTTGGCCGGATCTTGGCCGTGACGGCAACATCCTTCAGCTGGTGAATCCATTAGATCAAAGCACAAAGTATGGCAGCCAGATCCAGTTTTACTGCACTTCAAAGTTCTACACACTGGAAGGAAATGGTGATTACACGACTCTCCCACACTGTGGCACATCTGGTGTTGCTCGTTTTTAAACAATGCGCCTCATTACACCTTTCAGATACAAGCACTTGTAACGCCGATGGTGAGTGGACCGGGATGCCAAAATGCAATGAAGGTAGGGGGAATGCCTGGTTGACTATTTCTGTACTAAATCACTTAATTTGCTTTACTGATCACTTTTGTGCATTTCAGTGTGTGGAATGCCAGAAACGTCAAGCACAGGCAAAATTTTGGGAGGAAAGGCGGCAATGATGGGAGAAATACCGTGGCAGCTTTTCATAAAAGCTCCAAGGTTCGGAGGAGCATCGCTGATAAACGATCAGTGGGCCGTCACAGCAGCACACGTTGTGGACGGCGTCCCAAAAGAATCAGTTAAACTCTACGGTGGACTGATAGATGCGACAACTACTAGAGGAACTGATGTATCTCCCATTCCAATTGAAAAAATCATAGTGCATCCCAGCTACAGAGGGGCCTCAACCCAAACAAATTATGATAATGATATAGCTCTGATAAAATTCACGTCCAGAGTGAAGCTTGGCCCAAACCTCCTGCCTGTTTGCTTGCCAGAAGTAAACAGAGGTGTGCTGGAGGGAGAACAAGGCACTGTGTCTGGCTGGGGGGCTGAATTTCAGGATAATAGGTGGAGACGTACATCAGACGTCTTACAATACGTTGATATTCCTGTCTACCCCGTCTCTACGTGTAGGATCACACCTCGCCTTTCTAACAAAGCCATGACTTTTACTAACAACATGTTCTGCGCTGGAGGAAAAGGGACAGACAGTTGCAAGGGAGACAGTGGCAGCCCTTTTGTTTCACCCATGTTGTCTTCAGGCGTAGGGCCCCATTATCTGATTGGCATTGTGTCGTGGGGCTCTCCCTGTGTGGAGGGTGGTGCAACAGGTGACAAGAAGGGTTATTACACCAAGGTGGAGAATTATGTCAACTGGATTAACGAGATCAAGAAAAATGAAGCACAGAGTTAAAAAAACAACAACACTCAATCACAATTAATAACCATCTATCAGAGCTGATCAAATTATTGAAACTAACCAATTCTTACAAATTCTTGAAATCAAATATTCAAACATTAACATGAAATCGATAACCATATTTAAGAAGATGGTACCAAATACAGTGCTTCATATCTGTAGTAAAGGAAGTGTTCACAAATCATCTAAAGGCTTAAACCATTTTAAATGCTAACCTGTTTTGCTTATGTGTGACCTAATCTATACTCAAATATATATCATGAGTATATCCTCTACATTGATACATTTATCACAATGCTTTGTAATATATGTCAGAGTTACATATTTTATAAAGTTTATAAATGCCAATAAACAATTAAATTTATGGTGTTGTGTTCAGTGACATTGTTTTCATTATTACTGCCTGAGCATGGGGCTAGTTTCTGGATCTGAGGTTTTAAACATGTTATGTTGAAACCAGCTAAACTCTTCTGTCACATTGTTCATGTTTAAAAGTCAGATGATGGACCTTCACATTAAGAATGAATCTGAAACCTACCACTAAATTCATTAGGTTTGAATTCTACATTTTACATGAGGCTACAGTTTTTTTTTATTTTATTTTCTTTTTTCTTTTTATTGCTAACACAAACTCCCTGGTAGTCCCTCATCGCCTTCAGCTCTCAGCCTGGACACAGAGAATAAGGGTGGGATTAAACTAAGCAAGCGCAAAAAGAAAGACACTACAATTTAGACATGGACAAGTGCTAAAATTAGGTTATCCCCAACCTTGGACATATACATTCATTAAAAATCAGTGCTTTAATTGAGTAATTAAAAAAACAAAACAAAAAACAAAGCTGCTACCTGCAGCAAGGCCAGAGGCCACACAGAACAAACAATAGAAAAATAACCCAAAGTAAACAAATTTAACAAAACAAAAGCAGAAAAACAAAGCAGCAGGGTCTCCCCTGTGCTGCAGCAGCTATTTGTCAAAAATGAAATTACAGATTAATAGGTGATTTTGGAAAAAGGTAGAAGGTAGAGGAAGCCATTGTCACCCCGACCAGAGAACCCCTTCTGGTCCAACAGCAGCAGGAGGATCAACTTGCCAGTACTTTCTATATATGAATACTTTGTCATATTTTTGTGCTATTGAACTGCCTGGGTGCAATAAAAAGTACAGATGAACTGGGGAGGGTAAATTACGGCCACACCCAGTACCACGCAGGAAACTCCAGGCAGTTTCTAAATTTAAACAATTTGAGCTAACCAACTGCAATTTCAGGTCTTACACAGGAGAAACATTACTTACTGATGTTAGAGTTATGACCACTGCAAGCCAACCAAGCGACCTTTTTACTGAGGCGTGACCCTGTGCAGGCATAAAGAAAACGGGTGAGTCTCCTTTTACACTCATTAGGAGTTAATTGGGGACCAGGTGTCCTCACTCCTGGGGGCAGGCTTCATCCTGCTACATTCATCATAAATAAACTGGAAATAAACTTCATGTTTACTAGCGAACTGTTGCGATATACAAACTTGTTCATTGACGGGGCTATGCTGGAAAAATATAAATACCCCCCTCTAGTGGTAAAATTAATTATGACAGCTGATGAATGAGCCAAATATGAACGGAATAGAAAAACATAAACTAAAATAGCATGAAACTTGAATTTTTTTTTTTATCATATCACATAGTCATATTATTCACATGGTAATTTTCTTCATGATACTTTTCCTTTGCTGTTCAAAGTCAAATCTACTGGATTTTTACCAAGACAAACACACCATGTTTCTGGTGTTAATGTTTCACTTGTATCTACATGTGTTCGTACACAACTAGATTAATTCAGACATGGACATATTCAATGCCAGGATTGGTTGGACATCTTTCATCACATGGTGAGTTTGGAGGATTTTAAAACAAAATGGTGACAGAATTAAACAGCTTTTAACATTATCATATGATATTGTAGCCCTGTAATTCTAAACGTCTCTAAGTATTAAACAATTACTTTGAATCTTTTATTCTACTTTAAATGATTTATGACTCTGCAGAAGGCATACTGTGTTATGGCAAATAGTTGATTTATTGTCATAGATGTACATAAAATGTGTCTTCTGTGGTTTAGTTGATTCGGTCACTGTTTGCTCTTTTCTGTTTGAATCGACTTTGGACCAGAGGCTCAGATCATCAAAGTCTGACAAACAGATCGAACTCTTGTTTGTCTCCAGGTTTCTACATGTGTTGGTGTGTGAGTGTGTCCCACTGCCAGACTCAGGGCAGATCCATTCCCCCCAGTGTCCTCAGCTCTATCCCGTCAACCTGCAGAAGCAGTGGGAGATCAGTGTGCCGGACGGCTTCCAGATCAACCTGACCTTCACACATCTGGACATCAAATCCTCAATTACAGTCAGAGCAATATTAAACTAAGAGATGTAGGGCAGATGAATCGTGATGAATCAATTATTGAAATAACCTACCACTCAAATGGGAGCTTCAGCATCATCCAGTTCAAATTCTGCACAAAAAAGTCTCCTATTAAGCACCATTAACTATTAAATTATTAATTGGTTAATAGAAAAAAATATGTCCACAGATACATTGTATGATGTGTCAAGCAGAAAGGGCTGAGCTTTTCACATGTTGGTTTTTAAAGTATTTAGATGCAGATGCATCCCTTAGTACTAATGATCAAGCGTACATTAAAGGAATTCTGGTATTGCATTTTAATCAATAAAATGTTCAGTTTCTTATTTTAAACATAAATTGAATTACGTTTGTTTCCATTTGTTAATGTATTTTTAATATTGTATTAAAAAGGCTTACGTTATTCATTGAAAAATCTGCAATTTTCAATTAACTTGTTTATTAAAAGTTGTATGTTTAGTGTTTCTTCGTTATTTTGTACATTTTATCTTTGCAGGTCCTATACGATGAAAAGGTCCTTGGAAAGTTTTGTGGCAATGAGAACTCTGCTGATGGACATCACCCCGGCTACCAGCCCATTTTGTCTCCAGGCAGCAGACTCACCCTGATATTCCAGTCCGATGACAACAACCCGGACCGAAACCAGAATGTGGTATTTTCTGCTCAGTACCAAGCAATAGGTATGTCTTGGAATTTTTTCACATGTGACAAATAAAATATCTTTAATTTGGAATATGTAACTACAATATGCATAATTTCATTTCACCAGACAAAGATGAATGCTCAGCACCAGAACCTGAGGATGGATCAGGTCCACTCTGCTCTCAGATCTGCCTCAACACACTTGGGTCATACCTCTGTGCTTGTCACCATGGCTACGAGCTGCGCTCAGACCAGCGTACCTGCATGCGTAAGTTTGGTTAATGGAGAGAGAGAGATTTTCAGGTGTATTTAAAATCAGTTTCTCAACATCTTGATGAATCTTGATTTAGAAGAAACAGTTTGGTGGAGATAAATACATAATTAATTCATGTCAAATCTGTTTCTCAGAGCAACGGCAACATTTAAACTATCTCCTTTCTGACTTAAAACTGTGAGCCACCAGTAGGCAGCAACACTAAAAAGGATAACTTAATCTACCTTTCCACAAAAATACATTAATTAACATCTTTGTCTTAAATGATTTTGAAGAATATATGCTGACTGGCTCAGTCAGAGTGGTGTTATTATGTCTGTAATTTTTTCGCATTTTGTGTAATGTGATAGATCAACACAAATAAAAAAAAATTAGGAATCCTTTTCAAAGCGCTTTATAAATTAAAACTTTGCAGAATCATCTTTCGTTGATATTACTACAACCATTCTTGTTTGCAAAATGGCTCAAGATCAGAGAGGTTATATGAGGAACATCTTAACATCAGTTTTTTTTTTTAAAGTTTTATGGAGGATTCGTAATTGGACTTTCAGTGAGTTTGTATTTTGACTTAACCCATGTAACTCAATAATATGCTTTAAGCTAAACCTGTCAAGTTTGCTGTGTGTTTGTGTGAGATTTTTACTTAAACAGATAATATCGGTATTGAATTTCTGAATATATATATTTATTTTTCAACTGAAAGATGGATAAGTGTCACAGCATGATCACACGACATAGTTTAACAAAACTCTGACACAGAGGAAGTCCTACCTGCAGATCGCTGCATTGGGGGGCCCGTGTGAATCCTTTTCCTCGCTGACTGAGAAAAGGACTGCATTTTCGAAGAAACCAACTGATACTGACAAAATATTGAATCTATTTTTGTTCTCTACCACAGTAATTGATTGTGGAGAACCTGAGCCTCTGCTGAATGGAGGAGTAACGTTGCTGTCTGGCTTCCAGTATCCTGTTGTTCAGTATCATTGCAATGAACCATTTTATTCACCATATGGTGGCATTAATGGTAAGATTTTACTATACAATAATAAAGTCTATTCTATTCTATTCTATTCAGATGCTTTCTACAGAAGCTTCAATTGATGCTCTAAGCTTTATAATATTCTGATGAACTCTGTTTTCATCAATATATACTCAAGACGTTCCACAGTTTTTATAAGTTTTAATGTGGTATTTCGTTATTGTATTTTGAGATTTCATATAAAATTTGAGTCAGAAGGAAGCATCACAATATCATCTCCTGATGCTGATTCACTTTGTTTACATTTTATGTCAGACATTTTGCCTGCATGTAGAGCAACGTCCAGCCATACCAAGACAATCCAGACATAATGTGTGACTTAGAAGACATGCACGAAGAGAAAACTATATTTCTCTTGGCTATGGGTGACTTTTGTCACCTCTATAGCATATACAGGGGCTGAGGAAGGAACTATAACAGGGAGATTTTAAAGAACGAGTGCCCAACGTGTAACAGATCTTGTAATAGAAGCCAAAAGGTCTTTTTAATTTTATTACATAAATTAATGGACTGTAACTGCAGTAGGACTGCAGTTACAGTCCAATAACTGTAATAATTCTGACATTGTTACAACTTAGTAAAGTTATAAAAAAGGCAAAACTTTAAAACATTTTCTCAAGCTTCTTGTTCACAGCTGCATTAGCTGTACTAGTGGATGAGAAAAGGACAAGTAAAACCTGACGAAAAAATATGTCCAAGATGGATCCATCAACTGGACTTGATTAGCGCGTTTACATCTGGATGTATTTAGTGAAACTTACTTGTAGATCCAGCACAGGAATCTGTTAAATGGCCAAAGCAGAGCAGTTGCAGAGATTGGAGATCACCTTGCTTTGTGAATTTCCTTCAGAGTGAACAAAATAAAGGTGTTAGGCATGCTTTTCACTAAGGTTAAAGACATTAAATGATGTACAAAATTAGTAACGTTTTGGTGAATATTTTGTGAACAGTAACTGATAATACTTTGGTATTTGATTTTAACACCTAAGATGAAAATAGCACTTTTGTAAATAATCATTTTTGTCTATTCTTAGTTTCTCTCACCTGTGAAGCGGATAGACGGTGGAGATCCAACCATGATGTTATTTTAAGACCAGCATGCCTACCAGGTATCACTTTTGGTCTCTTAAAACATCAGAGTCCATCTTGACATCTCTATGTCTTCTCTCTAACTATAAATTTATATCCTATGCAGTTTGTGGTCGACCAACAAAACAAAATGAAAATCACTTTCAGAGGATTATTGGAGGAAATGATGCTGGAGAGCATACCATCCCATGGCAAGCTCTCATAAATGTAGGTGACAGCAGGGGAGGAGGCATGATCATAGCAGATCGCTGGATTTTAACTGCAGCTCACGTGGTTACGATGAATGGACAAGTACAAACTCCTGAGGCCTTTTCTGTAAGTAACACTCTGTAATCTTCTGGGATTGTCCACTGTTGCGTTTTTAAAAAAAAAAACTTTTTTTCTTTTGTGTTTTTTATAGATTCATCTTGGACGTACAGATGTTCACCAAATTTTAGAAACTCCTTCCCTGAATGTAACTGCAGTCCATGTCCACCCTCAGTACAATAATCCAAACGGTTTAAACTATGACCACGACATTGCATTGATAAAACTTAAAGACCCGGTCACATTCGAAGCAGCAATAATGCCACTGTGTTTGCCATCAGAGGATGACAGATATGACTCTGGAATGATTGGGTAAAGAAACAGTAGGCCTTCAAAATAATTTCAGTAATATCAAATCTCTTCTACATAGCTGATCCTTTGTTCTGTGAACCTTTTGCTTTTTTCAGGCTGGTGTCTGGCTTTGGCATTGCAGACAAGGGCAATCGGCAGCGTTTTCTAACAAATAAGCTGAAGTATGTGCATATTCCAGTGGTGGAACAGGAAAGATGCAGTGATTCTTTGAAGCTAATACCTGGAAGCCGGAAACCAATACTGACAGACAACATGTTCTGTGCTGGAACTCCTGAAGGCAGGAAGGACTCTTGCCAGGGTGATGGTGGGAATGGCTTCACTCTGCAATCTGAAGATGGACGATTCTGGGCTGCTGGGATTGTCAGCTGGGGGATTAAATGTGGACAGAAAGGATCATATGGATTTTATACCAAAGTGGCAAACTATGTAGACTGGATTAACAAGATCATGCGAGAAAATTGAAAGCATTAAAGATTAAACACAGTAACAACTTAAGTTATGAGGCAAAAACACCATCACTAAAAACAAATTAAACATAATAACTTGTAAATACAAAATTGCTCAAAGCCAGTTAAAAATGTGCTCTTACTGTATAATAAATCATAATTAGAAAGGTAACTTCAGCTACTTAATTTTCCAGGTGTTTGTAGGTCCAGCTGTACTTTATTTTGTTCAAAACCTTGTTCATTCAATTTGAATAAAGTGGTTTAAGCGTCTTTATGTGTCTTTTTATACAATGCTAAAAATGTCCTCATCCTATTAAACAAGGTTTTGCATGATTTATGGGCGCGACTTCCACCGCAAAATGGAAGCACCATTTATTTACAGGTTAGCAACTCGTTAACCGACTTTCCATAGAGGTTTTAGGCTATAAAATATGTGGCAATATTGTTTTACCGCTACCTACAGCTATTGAGGAGAGGGATGGTGACTTGGAGAAACGCCCGCAAATAACCCGCACTAGCATATTTAGCTACTTCACTATCTCAGTTGCTTCGGATGCGGGTGTTCTTCTGTTGCTTTTTGTCCACACAATAAAATGAGTACACATAAAGTCATTTGGGTTCGCTCTTCAAGTTTAGAATTTTTAGCCAAATTCTTTTTATTTGTTGGTAAGCGATGAAAACTACCGCTTTTGTTTTGGGAGCACGTTCAAAGCACACTTGCTGCAGCCACAAATTAAATTGGTCTGATTATTAGAGTACAACCACGAACAGCACAACTACGGTGGCCGACAGGTGCAAATGCGCAGCAAAAGGAAAACATGCAAACAAAATAAAAGACACGCGCACGGCCACCGTACACAACAGTTACCCGAGCTCCACAAAGGCATTTTACAATACTTTCCAGTGGCAAGTTGCTCTCTATAACATGTTAATGTGTGATCCATTTTGGTTCTAGTCCAGTGCAAGGGTCGGCAAAGTTACAGTCAAATGTAATGTAAAATGTGGTTTAAATTTCTTTTATTGTATTCAAGTTGCACCACTAAAAGTGACTAGTAAGTAGCAATGAATAACACAAGTGTTTTTCTCAGTAAACAACCTGTTGAGACCCAGAAGCCAAACTAAGATTCAAATGTCGCTTAGATATTAGTTTGGTTCAGCAGAGATTGGATCTTGGTCACAGATCTAATCTCTGCTACACCTTTACAAAAATTTAAGGCTTTAATAAGCAACTCCACGTAATAAAATTCCTCATAAATATGGAGTTATTGCAGTGGTTCTCAATACAAATTATGTGTTACTTACATCATAACTTAAGTTGCTGTAACCCTTTTACGCGGGGACGTACATCCAAATTTGCAGTACCGTAACTCTTTCTAAAAGGGGAGATGTTGCTCTTTCCAGCAAGTATCGGGTTAATACGGCAACTTCACAGCTGCAGCTGCAGAGTGTAATTAATCGGGGGGGCACTCGTTTAATAGACTGTATATTTCGAAAATAACTTGCTGGATATTGAAAGTTCCAGTTGTTATCGATACATGGGTAAGTATATATCATCTCACAGGACATTTAAAGAACTACTTACAATTAAAATAAGGAAGGTTTATTTAGGCAGACGCTTGAAACTCCGGCGTAAAAGGGTTAAACTTTTATTTATTTATTTTGTGTTTTTCCCATGTCCTGGATGGCTGAGAACCAATAAATATGTAGAAATTGAATATTTGGTTAGTATCATAGCTTAAACTAAACGAGTCAGCACTACAATTTTCTAGAAAAGTATTCAGATTTTACTTTGTGGTTTGAAGATGGTAAAAAATAAAGACATACTTTATTTTTTTAACTGTCAGCTGCAATGTCTGAAGAACACCATCTGGAGAGCAGCAGCTGCGTTCATTTCTCAGTTGATTTACAGTAACACCGAGCAATGGAAAACCTCGAGGTTCTGCTTGTGGACTAAATAAACCCGGATATTTTATTTAGTCTTATAAAAATGTATTACTGGCCCAAACATAATGATAAAACACACTTGTTGCAGCCACTTAATGAACTTTATTTTTTAAATTCAAACGAAAAATAAAATTCACATCACACCAAGTGAATATTATGTAGTTCTGTTGTTGTCGGTGCAAAACGGCAGCTCAGAACTCTGACCAGCTCCGCTGCTTTTCTCTTCTTCAGAGAAACGAGCTGCTAGCACAGCTGCTAATTAAGTGTCATCCCATTACAAAACTTAACGAACTTGTTCCTGTCGCTCCTCGAGATTAAACTCAGTCACAATTATGGTCCTCTGTACTGAGCATCTCTCAAATAGCAGACGGCGTGTCCGTAAGCAAGTTTAACTAATTACTGTACAATAACCGAAAAGAGATGCAACTTCTATCATGAAAATAGACTAGCAAAAAACCTTACAAATTGCAGTGAAATACTGCTACTTCCGGAAGTAAGGGCCATAATCGTTTCCACTGTAAATCTCTCAGGAATAAGAGTGACGCTGGAAAAATATCCATACCTCCCTCTGGTGGTGGAATTATTTATGACAGCTGATGAATGAGCCAAAGATGCATAAATTACAGTGAAAGAATAGCAAAACATAATCTAAAATAGCATAAATGATCAAATATGTCAATGCCTTATCCAATTCTAATCACAATTTTTACAAAATACTATCTTCACTCCCTTGCTGTTCAAAAACAAACAGATTTGATTTTTGCCAAGACAAACACGGCGTATTCCTGGCATTAACGCAATGGGTTGCTTAATACTTGAAACAGGAGCCATTATAACATTAATGTTTCACTTGTATCTCAGACTTGTGCTGGTACACAGCTAGAAAAATTCAGGCATGGATGTATTCAATCTCCAGATTAGTTGGACATCTTTCATCATATGGTGAGTTTAAAGGATTTTTATTTTTTATGAAAAATCAATTATGATTGAATTAAACCGTTTTTGTCAGAATTTTTTGTCTTGATTCTAAACATTTCTAAATATTAATGCAAAAACCTGATTGTTTTACTCTACTTCAAAGTATATATGACTCATTTTAGAGAGCCTTTTCTTAACAGGTAAGTGTTTGATTGATTGTCATAGATATTCTCAACTATAAAATGTATCTTGTGGTTTAGTTGATTCTGACCTTCTGTTTGCTCTTTTCTGTTTGAATCGACTTTGGACCAGTGACACAGATCATCAAAGTCTGATAAACAGATGGACCTCTTGTTTGTGCACATCTCCAGGTTTCTGCATGTGTTGGTGTGTGAGTGTGTTCCACTGCCAGACTCAGACCCTCCGATGTACGGGGAGATCCATTCCCCCGAGTATCCTCTGCCCTATCCCCCCAACCTGCAGAAGCAGTGGGAGATCAACGTGCCGGAGGGCTTCCAGATCAGCCTGACCTTCACACATCTGGACATTGAGGCCTCTGCAGGCTGCTACTACGATTCCATCACAGTCAGAGCAATATAATACTTTCAGATGTACCCATTGCATAATTGCTCACAGCTTGTAAAATATCTAACATTATAAGGAACACAAAGGTTTGGGCCTAACAGTCTTTTTTCTTGTAAGATATTAATTTTATTATGTATGCCAAAGTCAGGGTTATCAAACTATTTTCTGAGTTGGGAGTCCAATGTGATCGTAGAAATATAATTTCTGATTTGCAGACTCTTTATTATTTATCTTTAAGTTAGCAAACAGGATTTCAGCTCCTCAATATGACAACACCACATCAGAACGGCCATATTACCAAGTAAACATCAAGATATCAAACAAACTTTAATATGACAGAAGCAGAAAGTCAAAGAAAGAAGAGCATCATAATAATGAAAAAGAAATCATAACAATCTAGAGCAGCATTAGCATTATGCTAACCAGCAACTTCAACTGATTATCAGCAAAGAATAAATGGCGACAGTTGATGAACAAAACAACAAAAGAGCAGAGCAATATAGCTAAAACTAATAAAACACACAGAGAAGCAGAAGTTGTAGCTTACTGCCCATCTGGAAAAAACCCTCCATATTGCCAGTCCCGGTGTGTAATTCGCTGCCATCGTCGCCATTACCAACTTTATCACCATAGCGACCAAGAACTTTATGGAATCTGCTATGACAAGGCAACATTCCGAGCGGCCTAAAGACATTAAATTCAGCGAGCCTGAAGAGAACATGGAGAAAATTAATTGTTTAATGAGAATCGGTGGAAATGTTGCATAAATAATTAAGATTATATAAACATTAAGGGAAAATAGACTAATACAATTAATAAATTTTCAGAATGGTTCATACCACCACTGGTGTGAGCCATTTTGTTTTACTTCTGGAAACAAATATGAAATCAACGAACAATTGCTTCTATGTACTTTTACAAGTCCCCACTTAAATAAAATTTTATGGGTAGTATTTCTTCATCATATTTAAGATTTTATCTTTGCAGGTCCTATACGATGAAAAGGTCCTTGGAAAGTTTTGTGGCAATGAGAACTCTGCTGATGGACATCACCCCGGCTACCAGCC